ATAGTGAAGGGGAAACACTGTGTTTGGGACAATGTCAGAGTGAGATTTTTTTTTTCCATGCGTGTGCTGTGGCAGAAGTGACTAACAGTGGTGTAATGCTTGTGAAGGGGGAGAGAGGGAAGTGAGTCAGGACATGGCAAGGATCCCAGCTAGGAAGAGGTCTGTCCTGCTTTGGTGGGTCAGCAGAGAAGCAAGTACTGATGCTTTGGAAAAAAAATAGTAGGAAAAAATTATCCTCGAGGTGGGATGTAATGTTTATTGGGAGGAATAGATAGGGGGAAGAAAAACATACAAAAGTAAAATACTTGTCTTTTCTATGCCATCCTAGCTTCCCCATCAGTAAACACGAAAGGTGTAACCATGTTAAGACCTTATAAGCATGCCTGGAATGTGAGAAACCACTCTAGAAAGGAAAAGGGCTTAAGCAGCTTTATTTCCAGACAAGCAGATTTCTTCATTAAACACAGGTGCTGCTAATCCTTTGCAGTAGATATGCTTAACATAGCTATGTTTTCTGGCCAAATGTGGCACTATATATTGTATGTCTATGGGAATTGTTTGTGGATAGCAAAGCTGTGGGATCAGAGCAGTCCTGATCTAGACACTTGCTTGGATTGGGATAGTAGGAGATATGATAACTGGTAATGGGACTAAGTCCTATGTTAGGTAGTAACATAAAACACCACCTGTAATGCTGGTAAATGGATAACATGCAAAGTTTGCACAAGCTGTTGAAATGTGTGTGGCAAAGTGGCACAGCAGAGGTTGCTGCTGGCTTTTTGGCTTGGGTAGATGGGGAAGCATCGGTGGGCTCTGCACCATATGGCTTCAAGACTGCTGAAAGCTGTGCCCCTTGTCTGCTGCTGTGAGGAAAACAAGGAAAGGTAAAGCCAAGCCACTAAAGGATATGGCCATTTATATGTTGTAAGCTAGCCAAGGACGGTGAGGAAAAAATAAGAGTGCATGCAGAATATGGGAATTTGCACCAGGAAACGGTATATCTGCTATTGCAAGCTTAAGAAAATAAATGTTTGACTAAGGGGCAAGGACTTTACAAGGTCCTGAGGAAGGCTGGATTTGGCGATCTACAAGGTAATTATGCCAGATGAAAGATTAGACTTGCTTTAGAAAATCAGAGCGACCCTGCCTCAGGAACAGATAGTGTCTCAAGCTAGCTGCATGGTCAGCAATGTTGGAAGAAGGTGCACCAAGGCATGGAGAGCCTGGTTTTCCATGGGGATGGGGCTTATTGCTGGAAAATAGCTTTCTCCTTTACCATGGAGCTGGGGGAGTCTTCTGTGGTACAGAACATTGGCATTTTACAGGGATCTTAGCACACTAGCACCGTAATTGAGTACAAGGAAAAAATGACAGCAGGTCCATGAAAGGTGGAAAGGGTGTGGGATGTGGGAAGAAGCTGGCACTAATGGAAAGAAAGGTTTAAGCCTAACACGTTTGGGGTGGGAATAAATCCTATCCTCTCAGACACTTTAAAAATTTAAATCCATCATACCCCATTCTAACTATGTTTCAGCAATTAATAGGCTTACTTGTAAAGGGTGTAGAGAAGATGTATTTGCGGAAGGGGAGGATGTAGTTACCTGCAGGGTGACTTTGAAAAGAGCTCCTAAAGGAATTGCTCCAATAGACAGAAAAGCCTGGATTTATTTTGACAGACTATCCCAGTCAGGACTGTATTTCACCCCCTCCACCCTTCAGGAGGAAAGAATATGAAGTGTTTGCAGACAGCTTTTAGGAACTGCCTGTATGTCTCCACTATTTTTGTTTTTCAGATGAATCTGTAAGTCCAAGTAAACTTTGCAGGAGATGGGCTCAGAGCAATTGCTCTGGGGGAGGGTGGAAAAAAGTGGTGGGGGCTAAGCTCCCAGTGATAAGTGTGAGTCTGATGCAGTTTCCATGGGGGAATGTGCTGTGAAGTTCAAGCTGAGCCTTGCCCTGTTTTCGTACAAGTTCTGAACACAGGTGCTTGCAAGCCTTTGCAGAGACAGCTGCCTAGCAAGCCTCCAGCTGGTAGGCAATGATACAAGCAATGCAGGGGCTCTTTCTAAATACTACAGCACCTTTTTTTTTATTTTTCACTGCTAGCAAGAGGCTGATAACATGGAGGCAGGCGATGGTCTGAGCACCCTGGGAGGATGGGTGTGCTGCGTAGCAGTGGAAGCAGTCTGAGGAGCCAGGTGCTTCGCAGCAGAGTAAGCAAGTCCCTGCAGCCACTCCTGCTGCCCAGGAGGGACACCCTGTGAGCCCCAGGGGGGCTGGGGGCTGCTGTCCCTGGGTGAGAGTTGCTGCTCTAGCTAAGGAGCACAAGCACTAACTTAGCCCAGCCCAAGCTGGGTTTTGTTGGGTTTCTATGTTTAGAGGGTGGCTTAAGCCTATGGCCACTGTATAATTATGATGATTATAAAATAGCTGCCTCTTCAGTTTCTGCCTGTTGACAGCTCTGAGGAAACGACCTAGTTTGAACTGACAGCACTGAGGACCTTGAACCGTATCAAAAGTCACTTTTAAATGAACCTAGAACATCTAGACAGTTGCCAGACTTTGCTGGCAATGATAAAAATAGGTTAGTGAGATTTTTTCC